GGCAATGGCGACATAATTGATGAAATGTCAAGGGACACAAAAAATATTACATGGCACTACTTCAAAACCCATCGAAAATTGGTTGAATAATTCTTTAGTCCACTAGAATCGTGCTAAAGTACAGTATTTGGATGGTGCTTGCGACGGACGGCGAAAAACGGCGATCAAATTTGCAAAATATGGCTGAAATCGTGTTATGGCGGAGGGTAAGTGAAATGAAATATGTCGTATCGCAACAAAACATTGTTATTTCCTAGGAAATTTATAATAAATATATTATCATCATATGGCAAAAATTTTTAGAAAATAGGGAAAATTAGACTTTGCCAGGTGAAACTGTAATTTTATGCATAATTAGCAGTTGACCTGGAATAGTAAACATTCATTTTCTTGTAAAATATGAAACTTAGGCTAATTTCACTCTCCATTGACCACCCCTAAAAGCAACCATTCTGAACCATATAAACAATTCAGAAAGACTGTAGCTTTGATAATTCAGCATTTAGAGCTAAGTCGACTATGCCGTTTCTGTGTGGTGTCATTTTCAGGACTTTCGTCTCGGATTCACATTTTGGCACATATGCCATGTTGACCGCCATGGTCATTTTACCCTAAAACAGTTGAGATAATCTGTCCTAAATGAAATGCATACAAACTCCTTTACAGGTCCTAGACTAAAGAGCATTTTGAGAATTATAGAACCAAACAAGTCAAAATGTAGCTTCTATCGGCAATTACCCACTGTTAAAATTTATAACATTGTCAAATTAGCGGCTTTTTAAACTGAAAAATTTGTAAAAAACGGTTCCGGTCGGCAGATCACGTCCGGTGTGCATCAGCCTTTAAAGGCACTGTGCGCCTAACAAGATAACGCGATGTACATGAAGTGCCTTTGTCAACATCGTAGGATGCGGATTCCTCGCCATTTTCAGTAATTTTTCCAGGAAAATTTAACCTATATAATAACAGTCGATCAACACACAATTTATATTTCCCAGTAGCTAAATGTTTAGTATGTGGCTTAATATCAAGGGGGCGGTTGTTTTAAAGGCGTTTAGCTTTAGGCGTTCCTTTAGATTCAAACAGTTACTATGAATCACCAAGTGGGTAAGCGCCGCATTGGTGAATAAGACAAAACTTAAATCTTACAGTAAGACATTTCAAGTCATCGATGTTTCATTTCTATAGACACAGGGTGATTCTCTGGTCACACACGTGACATTGCTGTTTCTTGACTTTCTTCAGGCTTCATATTTTGACGTGTGTGACCAGAGAATCACCTTACAGACGGCAGAAAACAGTTCTTATTTTAGGCAAACTTAAATAAATGGAGTTTTTTTAACCACAGGTTTTCGTAAAAGATGCAGACATCCTTGATCATTTACACACAAATGAAAAACAGTTTTTGAATATGACACCTATGATACACCTTCCCAACCCAAGAAGCTCAATTTCAAGATAAGCCTGTTTAAACTCAAAAGTTTGCTCCATCAGTTAAAAAGGAAGAATTTAATTAAAACCTAATAAAACCTTTGGCTTTCAATTAGCTATCATTGAAATCATTCTCTTGTTACCCCCAAGTTCCCTTGCAAAATTGTTTTGGTAAGGGAAAGGAGACAATGTAGGTACAAAAATTGCACTTCTTTGAACCTTAAGAGTTGTTTGGATGAAAAAAATGTGTGCAATTTGTTCTGAACATCCAAGTGGCTAATAACTTCCCTAAAGAATTCATAAGTATATTTAATACTGCAAAGTTTTCGGTCCGTTAACCTGGACCTTCATCAGTGCAATTACCTGACAATTGCACTGATGAAGGCCCAGGTTAACGGACCAAAAGCTTTGCAGTATTAAATATACTTATGAGGTGTACCCACAAGCTAAATTACTTATCATGTTGTTTCATCTTGTTTTGAAAAATTTTTTGTCTAGGATGAGTGTCCCAGTTTTATGTGTTAATACCTTATTACAAATGCTACATATATTTCTGTATACCTATAAATTATGTTACCTTAAGAAATATGGTTTGACATATAATTTGAAAAGGTTTTCTTCTATAAAATACTCTACATCTTGTGCCTACAAGAAAGACCAGGAATTAAGACTTGAATGTTTAAACTAGCTAACAACAGACCACAATTGTTAGAAAAATGCTGCTAAAACACACAATTTGGGATTAGGCAATGGAAACCAGGTTTGATAATGACAGATGGAATGTAGTTTTTGTTGGAGAATGTCATTCATTTATGATCTAAGAGTAAAAAATGTGGGCATCTTATTATAGCCCCTCAAAAGCAACGTGGTGCAATAAACTATACATTCAATAGAGTATCCATATTTTCATGTCTAGCATCCATGCTTTCTGTTGAGTCTAGTATGGTTTGTTTTTACATCATTATTTTCTCCTGTTGATGATACACATAATTTTTCTCCAAAAAAATGCTGCATCTACTTGAGTAATTATAAATCTGTAATAAATCATCTCCCCTTGCCTGGGTAGGTAAAAGAGCCTGGCTTGCAACGTTGGCCTGGTTTGACAATGTAAGGTTGAATTTTTAACAGTTACGTAACCTGCAAGGTCTAATGAATGATGACAAAAACTGATTGTTAGAAATTTTGGATATATATTATTATATATTTATATATATATATATATATTATATTATATACACACATATATTATATATATATATTATATATTATATATATAAACACAAACATTACTACTACGCACAAATCCAAGATTATTGTATTATATATATATATATATATATATATATATATATATATATATATATATATTATATATTATATTTAATGTTTTCATTACAATTTTTGAATGAATAAGTTGCTACTTCAAGTTTCATGCAACAAGCAATCATCAGGCAACATACTAATTACGGTTAAGGTTTCACGTGTTACTACTCCCGATGTATTTGCTAACGCGTGTTCGTTTAAACTGTCCAGCGTGGAATTTGCGCGCGTGCACACATTTTGTGAATAGTTCACTTTTTTTGTTTAAGTTAGACTTACAATAACAATTACGTAGTATTTGCAATTTCTCCTCTAAACATAAGTTACACGATTTTCCTCCAGCCTTGATTGAATTTGCTAGGGAAACGATAGACCACTTAATATTGTATTGTTTTTCATTTTGTTTCAATTTCCAAACATGCTTAGATAGTTCTGTTTGTTTTTCGTATCTAATGTCGTTGAATGACCTCTTGTGATTTCTGTATCTCTCTTTAAATGTTGTCGCTGTCATACCATGCAATGTATGTTTTCGTTTCCTTCGAGTCTTCGGCTTCCACCTGGCCTTGGCCTTATAAACTAGATTTTTTGTCAAGCACATCTTATTTAGCGGGCACTCGTTCATGTTCCTGCTGTTACATAGGTTTTCATTTTTGTTGCCGTTGTCGGGTTGTTGGGAATGATATTCTTTGAGCACGCGTTTATTGTGCTTTGATATGACACTTTTTATATTATCCATACAGCTATAGCTAACTTTGAAAGTGTTCCTGTTTAATATTTTATGGAGGGGTGACGATTTGGGAAAATGTTTGTCAATTAACTTCAAGAATTCCCGAGCGACATTGGTTTGTACGGTCTTACTGTAGGGCGGGTTAAACCAAATGACTTTTCTGGATCTTTTGCGCTGCATGGGATTGGCTTTCTGTTGAGGATTTGGTTTCTTGGGTTGAAAAATGGAGTTTAGAGGCGTAGTTACTGTGCTTCAGGGAGTCGTTGTAAACGGGAGCAACAGATTCAAAGATTTGCTTGTTCGACGAGAGTATACTGCAATTCTGCGGCTGATGGCCTCTGGGAGTTGTTTCGTGATTGACGGTGGATGGTTTGATTCTTTGTGGATGTAGAGTGGATCGTTGTTGGGTTTTCGGTAAGGTTTATAGGATTCATTAGTGAGATTGAGCGTAACATCAAGAAAATTAACAATTTTGTAGTTCACTTCAGCGGTGATCTTCAGCCCCAATTCTTGGAATGCAGCATACAAATCTTTTCTTGCTTTATCTGCGAGTCTACACTTGAACCTTTTATCAAAGCCGTCATCTCTATACAAACCGATGTTATTGCTGTCAAATCTTTTGCTGAGATTGTTTAGTGCGTATAAACCAACAAGTTCACAAATTTCTGCACCATCAAAGCTTCCCATGGTCACGTCGAACATTGAGTGACTGTTTCGTTTTATCCACGGTTTTGAGGAATTGAATAAAACAGATTTGCGAGCGTGTTTGATAATCGAGATATGTTCGTCAGTAATGTTAACGATTGTTTTAGCCCAAGCAATGGCTTCATCAAGGAGTTCTTCGCTAATGGAAGGGTAGTAGTCAACGATATCAAAGGAAACGAAATTGTATTCTGTTTTGTGATCGATTTTTTTGAACCAGTTAATTACGGATTGGGAGTTTTTCCATTGATTTACTTTAATGGTTGATCGGATTTCATGATTGATAGTGTCTAGAATTATTTTGCTGACTTTTCCGAGCTCGCTTTTTGTTGGATTTATTAATCGGCATTTGGGGTTCGATTCAAAATTTTCTTTATGGTCTTTCAGGGTAATATAGGCTTCCGTTTCAGCCATAACGTCAACTCGGTTGCTATAACTTAGAGGAAATTTCTTACTGTTGATATCATTTGTTATCTCGCTGTGTGATAGTTTATAGGATTTTGTTATATTCTCACTTAACAGCTTATTATATTCGGTGGGTGAAATTTCATATATATTCTTTGTTTTGTCTGCGAATACATATACGTTTTTTGAGGATTTGATGTTTCTTAGATCTTTTTCTATCGTATTGAGGAATAGGATATTGAATGAGTATTTTTCATTTTTCTCCATTTTTGATGAAGCCATTGCTTGGGCTAAAACAATCGTTAACATTACTGACGAACATATCTCGATTATCATAGACGCTCGCAAATCTGTTTTATTCAATTCCTCAAAATCGTGGATAAAACGAAACAGTCACTCAATGTTCGACGTGACCATGGGAAGCTTTGATGGTGCAGAAATTTGTGAACTTGTTGGTTTATACGCATTAAACAATCTCAGCAAAAGATTTGGAAGCAATAACATCGGTTTGTATAGAGATGACGGCCTGGCTTTGATAAAAGGTTCAAGCCTAAGACTCGCAGATAAAGCAAGAAAAGATTTGTATGCTGCATTCCGAGAGTTGGGACTGAAGTGAACTTCAAAATTGTTAATTTTCTTGATGTTACGCTCAATCTCACTAATGAATCCTATAAACCTTACCGAAAACCCAACAACGATCCACTCTACATCCACAAAGAATCAAACCATCCACTGTCAATCACGAAACAACTCCCAGAGGCCATCAGCCGCAGAATTGCAGTATACTCTCGTCGAACAAGCAAATCTTTGAATCTGTTGCTCCCGTTTACAACGACTCCCTGAAGCACAGTAATTACACCTCTAAACTCCATTTTTCAACCCAAGAAACCAAATCCTCAACCGAAAGCCAATCCCAGCGCAAAAGATCCAGAAAAGTCATTTGATTTAACCCGCCGTACAGTAAGACCGTACAAACCAATGTCGCTCGAGAATTCTTGAAGTTAATTGACAAACATTTTCCCAAATCGTCACCCCTCCATAAAATATTAAAGAGGAACACTGTCAAAGTTAGCTATAGCTGTATGAATAATATCAAAAGTGTCATATCAAAGCACAATAAACGCGTGCTCAAAGAATATCATTCCCAACAACCCGACAACGGCAACAAAAATGAAAACCTATGTAACAGCAGGAACATGAACGAGTGCCGGCTAAATAAGATGTGCTTGACAAAAAATCTAGTTTATAAGGCCAAGGCCAGGTGGAAGCCGAAGACTCGAAGGAAACGAAAACATACATTGGTATGACAGCGACAACATTTAAAGAGAGATACAGAAATCAGAAGAGGTCATTCAACGACATTATAGATACGAAAAACAAACGGAACTATATAAGCATGTTTGGAAATTGAAACAAAATGAAAAACAATACAATATTAAGTGGTCTATCGTTTCCCTAGCAAATTCAATCAAGGCTGGAGGAAAATCGTGTAACTTATGTTTAGAGGAGAAATTGCAAATACTACGTAATTCTACGTAAACAAAAAAAGTGAACTTTTCACAAAATGTGTGCACGCGCGCAATTGTAAACTTTCCCGTGCAGGATTGTCTCATCTGGCACGCCTGCTTACCCATAAAATTGCGTGTTTCATTGTAATTATTATACATAGGGCTAGGCACGTACCGGTTTAAAATATTTCAAAGCTTCAACCCCGAGGCGGTGCGGATCGAGCGCCGTGCGAGGGTACTAACTCCGCCCGGAGATTAGGAATTACACTCAGGTATGTGACAGAACATAGCGGAATCCAAAGTTGCCCAAATTTTACGTCATGGACCATGGACGTTGGGCATTCAATGGTCATGGTACTTGCATGCATGTGCTAAATTTGAACGATTAAAGACTGGTAATCAATTTCCTGCAGCAATTTAGCTGTCATTTTGCACTATTTTTTTTAAATGTTTCGTCGTAAACATAACCAGAAATTCAGGACATTAATTGCCATAAAAGTTCATTATAATGCCAGGGTTTCGCAATCAAAGATGGCTGCCTGGTTATTATAGAGTTATATAAGGCACGAGACAAAATTTGAAATTAAAGCAACTTATTTCTGTCTTACATATTGCAGTTGTGGAGCTTGATTTAAGACGGGCAGAAACTCAGTACTGCATGTTATGACAATTATTTCATATTTTTTTATTACCTTTAACAGGTTCTCCAATAATGTCAGTTCAGCAACTAACCATTATAAATACTTGCAATTATAATGGTTAGTTGCTGTGATGATCTGTTAAAGGTAATATAAAAATATGAAAAAATTGTCATAACAGTCTGCCCGTCTTAAATCAAGCTCCACAACTGCAATATGTATATATATATATTATATATATATTATATATATATATATTATATATATATATATATATTATATATTTATATATTATATATATATAATATATATATTATATATTATATATAATATATATATATATATATATATATATATATATATATATATATATATATAATATTATTTCCTGCTCATAACAAACTGAGTAAAATTCCAAACCGGTGTATCTGTAATCTGAATCTAAATCATGTTGAAATCAGTTTCTGCCAGGCGCTTCCTTTGTCAAAACAATCCCAAGCACCCCCGCGCGCTTGATTTTTCTTAACTGAACTCTATATAATAGCTGAATGCAACGTTATATGTTTTTCCACTATAGCGCCAGGGTATGAGGCGGGATCTAAACTATCACCCTGACTATTAACGAAAGCGTGTAGTTAACCATTTGCAGTTCAAAGTTCCCAATGGCAACGGGTCCGAAAATAATAACAATGTACAACCACGAATATTCTGCTTTTAAAAACAACTATGAATAATGATAGTATAGGATATCAAATTCTTATTAGCATTTAATACGCCGGCGAGCATGAATTTGACGACTTCATGTTAACGTAGTTTGTATATTTGCTCTCCCATTCTGACATTCTTCATGAAATTTTTATTTCTGGGGGGAGGGCTTCAGCCCCCCTACCCCCCCTTTCCGCCCCCCCTACCCCCTTTTCCGCCGCCCCTGCGGCCGAGTTTACGAGCGATTTTTGTCAGCTAGGCTGTTTTAAAAAGATTATAAACGTGATAATACGTGATTTTTTATTTCGAAAACAAGAATCCATAGATAATAAAATTGTCTTTTATTGGAATTTCTATACACAAGTTGGCACTAAGTTGAGCGCAAAAATGCGTACAATATGATGACAGAGTACCCCCCCGGTCTGTACCCCCAACAACCGGAAAATATAAGTTAAACATGAAGTTAATGACGTAAAAACCTCAAAAACATAATTATTTGTTTAATAAATCACAAAATTATTAGTTGTTTCGTTCTCGTGCAATTAGCTCGCGGATTCGTTGACGTTTGACGGCTTGTTGCCAAGCATATAACTCTAAGGCATGTACATGCAGGTGGAGATGTACAGCTATGTCGTTAAAATCATTTCGCAAAACATCATAGATTACAAAATCCTGCAATGGAACATTTCTCCTATATTAATCATATATCCTGTACTAATCAACAATCTCCTGTATTAACCATTCTAACACATCAGTTCGTTGAACCTGTCGTCGCAGACGCATCATTTATTTGTGGAAAATACAATTTAGTTATTTGATCACCATTTGCAAGATTAAATCCCTGGCTATGCGCACTTTATCAAATAACTCGATAATGACTGAATAATATCAAATCATGTTATATGCTTTCTAGTATATACCTTTCTGGTAAGTCATATAAACACTTTTATACACGGCCGGTTGTAAGTTTACCACAGATAAGTGAGATATAACAATCATTATATAATCATGTAGCTAATATGCCAAATGTATGCATTGCCAGTCCTGAGTGTTTTCTCAAAAGGAATAAATATTCGTATCGTTTTAGCTGATGCGTGTGGACTACCGCGAGGAATTTGGATACGTGACAGGTTTGAGCACGAAACTAACAAACTTGCTTTAGCCGGAAGGCCTCTTAAGTAAATAACTTGAATGCGACCTTCCGTTTCGAAATCAATATACTTACGTCAGTGAACACACACCACAAATTTGAACGCGTATCAGTGATGCAAAATGCAAATTTATTCAAGGTCAATCCCATTGAACGAACAGTCTTAAGGCCCGTTCATACGTTCCAACTTTGTCGGATTATACAGATTCGAGTTATACCTAGCCGACACGCTTAGTAGGAATTACCTGCATTCCGAGGAAAAGAACCAAATCGACAAGAATGAAACAGATCCTGATATTGGGGTATCTATTGAGGAAGTGAATCAGTTGTTTGCGAATGAAGATACTATCAACGTTTACCGACAAGCAATCAATGAAGACGAAACTTTGCAGGCGTTGAAGAAGATTGTACAGTCTGGGTGGCCAGAAACGAAAGTCAGCCTACCAGAAGCAATTACCCCATATTTCCATTTCAGGGATGAGCTCGTGATCGAAAGTGGATTCATTCTACGTGGTGATCGTTTAATTATACCTAAATCGTTGAGAAAAGTGTTATTGGAGAGTCTACATGCCAGTCATCAAGGGATTCAATCAACCTTGAGAAGAGCTAGAGAAATTGTATATTGGCCCAACATGAATTCAGAGATTAAGGATTACATAAGCAAGTGTGATCTATGCTGCAGTATGGGGCCAAAGCAATTGAAGGAGACACTCATTTGCCACGATGTTCCTGAGCGACCTTGGGCGAAGATTGCTACTGATTTGTTTCAGTTCGAGAGCAAGGACTACATGATAACAGTCGATTATTTTTCAAATTTTTTTGAGATAGATCGGCTGCCTAACACAAGTGCCCGTACCGTTATCGGAAAGATAAAAGCCCATGTTAGCAGATATGGCATTCCTGATGAGGTAGTGAGTGATCAAGGTCCACAGTTTACTTCTCAAGAATTTCAGGAATTCGTTTCTAACTATGGCATCAGACATGTCATGTCCAGCCCGCATTTTCACCAGTCAAATGGGAAAGCTGAAGCGGCAGTCAAGCAAGCGAAGAGAGCATTGAGAGTGGCCAAGTTAACAGGGCGGGATCCCAGATCTCAGAAACACCCCACAAGAAGATTTTCACACGAGTCCAGCGCAACGGTTGATGAGTAGACGGACAAAGACCCTTTTGCCGACCTCAGAAAATCTATTAAAGCCAACAATGGTGCAAAACACTAGGGCTAGCAGAGACAGGCGTCAAGACAGACAGAAGAGGGTTTATAACAGAGGAGCCCGAAACCTTCCTACGTTAGAGAAAGGAGATCAGGTGTGGCTGCAACCGGTCAAGATAGGAGAAAAGCAGTGGAAAAGAGCAACAGTTTTAAATGAAGTTGGTATTAGATCTTACGAGGTAGAAACGGAAGATGAGAGGGTAATGATTCGTAATCGACGACACTTAAAGGAAGCGAAGCAATGTGCCAAGGAAGGCGGAAATGAAGCTACACCGGCTGTTCCAGAAGCTACACCGGCTGTCAAATTGTCAGAGGTAGAAACGCCATCTACTGTTGAGACGGATGAGGGACATACACGCACACGAAGCGGACGAGTGGTGCGAGCACCAAGTTATCTGAGAGATTATCATTGTACTTGAGGAAGAAAACTTATTACTGAACTGTCATTCAAGAAACTAAACTTTTTAAAAAAAAAAAAAAATTAGGTCATAATTAATTGTTTCTCTGAGGAGGGAAGATGTTGCGACATTAGTATAAGTAGGTGACAATTATGCATGAGTATTTGGACTTCCGTTTACGTATGTATAAATAAGAGGACTGTAGGCGTTTTAGGTTTTTTTAACTTAGACTTTGTGAAATACACTTAGGAAAAACTTTATACAAATTCTGAAATATAAATTGAACCAAACCGAAACAGGAACCTCTACTTAAAATGTGTGTGCCAACTTCATCGCCAGCAACGATGTAACGATGGCTTTGTTCTAATTTTCATTGTTTTACAGCATTAATTACTGTAATGTTTTACTTTAAACAAACCATTCGCCTTTGGGATGCCTATGCTAAGATATACTATTGAAAGACACCCTTGAATTGGAATGCCATCAGTACTGGCCTGCTCTTGATTATACTTGTGCATAATTTGCAAACACGGAAATTCGATAACGCAATGAATCCCAATCTCAAAACCAGAGCCCGCGATCCATCGGGGGAAAGAGTCGCGAGCCGATGGATCGCGGGCTCTGGCTTCGAGATTGAATGAATCCGGAAATATACGTGTGGACGCACTGTTACCGCGCGCGACCATTTGAAAACGATGACATTTATGGGTGAAATTTGATATCCATGCACATGCTCAAAGCACGTAGTGAATTATAGAACCTAAACGATTATATATATCGAAACTGGAAAAATTTCTTGCACTTTTCCTTTATTGAATTGACTATCATTAACCAAACCATTATGACTATAATAAAAAAAACGTGCTACTCTAAGACCGCTTATTTGCAAAGCCAGTGGCCAGAAATTTCTATAAAATACTTGAAGTAAACCGCGTTTACTATAATTGATAAGTCGGTAATCAAAAGCAAAATTTTTGCGGATACAAACGAATATGGATATGTGACATGTCTGCATGAGAACACAATAATAATATAACAATTAACACTTATTTACTGCGACCGAAGGAAACATTATGTTTTGTGGACCCGAGACCTGTCGATATTTCACGAGGCGAAGCCGAGTGAAATATCGACGGTCGAGGGTCCACTAAACATAATGTTTTCTGAGGTCGCAGTAAATAAGTTTTTTATTATATACCACTTGTCAAAGAAAAACTAAACAACGAAGTAAACAACGAAATGTCGCTAGTATTGCTGGCAAATCTTTCCATTCTAGTTTTTAACAGTTGTCAAAAACAAACGCTGCGAAGGACGAAGGTCAACTTAGCCCAATGTCAACTAAAGGTCAGATGTCCACGAGTGCAGCACGTGATTAAAGTTGTTATTTCCCATGAAATAATGCATTGTTTCCCCCTGCTGGGGGTCGCGCGGGCGACATCAAAATTTCGTCACTCTCACGTGATTCGCTCTCGACCAATGAAACGCTACGAACACCAAACTTTGACAAGTGGTATATAATAAACTCAGTTATTCTTGCCAGAGGGCCACTTACGTAAACAACTTGAACGTCCTTCCAATACCTACGTCATTGAACACACGTACAGCGCAAATTCAGTTAAAGAGTCAAAGGGCGCTTTCCTTTATACGGAAAAAACGGCCAGACCGGTCCTGTTGTATTTCGGTACAGACAGATTACTGTGGCCAGTTGTTCGAAAGCCGTTTAGCTTAAACGGTGGATATATGTTCAAAATGGAAAACAAAATTATCTCTTTATTGGACAAATGAGCTGAAATATTTTGAAGTAAATAGCTTATAATTTTCAACAGAAGTACATATTTAATGCATAAAATACAGGTTCAGTCATTCACAAGAAGAGTGAGAGTATTTTCAAATTTTGGCTTACCAGCCGCGTTGAAGCTAAACGCCTTTCGAACAACCGCCCCCTGGTATTTTGGAGTGTTTCAAGAACTCTGCATTCAAGTATATCGTTATTTACATCTGCCGGGAAATGGAGTTTCACCGCTATATTCTAAACGAAATACTCTATTCGAATGTAAAATATGACCGGTCTGGCCAAGTCAGTCATTTGAAAGCTCAGCCTTAAATAAAATCTTATCTACGAGACCACGTATTGGGATTTCTTAGATGTAACCTCTAGCTAGAGAACAGTATATTCGCGGTATAGCAAAACGTATATCTATCAGAGGACGCGCGCGCTTTCCTTCATAGACATAGGAAAAAAAATGGCTTTCAGTAGAGATATATTACTGGTATTTTAGAGTGTTTCAAGAGCCCTGCTTTTGACTATATTGTAATTACATCTGCTTTTCACGGAAAAGGCACTTTAACTGCTATATTCCTAAACCAAATACATACTTCAATTTTCAATTTAAATATTGACCGGTTTGACCATGTTGACGGCTTAAAGGGAAGCGTACTTGTTCTTCACTAATGCAAAGTCAGTCATACTATGTGACCTACCTATTGGGATTCCTGGCGTGGCCGTACGTGTTATGCGATACAGTTTTCCTTACAACTCACATGCAATACAATTCTACTTTTGAGACATGAAACGTAGTAGCTAAACTGAAAAAGAGTCTTCGAAATATATAGGAATACATCAGTGGAGTTCAATACAAATTCCGTAGTGGTTTCCCATTCTCAGGATATTAAATAAATCGTTGTTGTTTTCAAGAGGAATTTTAATAAACACAAGTTTCGTAGTGACCGAAATGAATTTTGCCAAAATATTGCACTGCATGTGTGATACGGCCTTAATTATAGCACGTTGCCATGTTTCTGCCCACATTCGTGGGTGAATAATATCGGTAGCATGCTGTAGAATTACTACATAACTGATAAAACTTTTGCCACGCAATTTCCTACACGGTGTGATCTATTGAAAATGAAAACATTCTGACAGTTTACGAGCGCCAAAGTTTCAAACCTCTAATCAAACGCCGCTTAACACTGTATATAGTCATGCCCAGAAGCAATTTCCAGGTCCGATTCCATGTGAAACACTAAAAGGAGGGTGACCAGAAGTCGCCTCTTCATCAGGGACGTACCGAACGAGGGATGTGTGGGTGACATAGCTTAAAGATTGTGGGCAAATTTATATAGGATTGCAGCCCAGTAATCGGGTATTTGAACAAAAGCAGTCGGCAATTTTTAGTGTATTAAGTCGGGTCATGGTTACCACGCATGCTGATCAGATTACCTCAAATTTCGCATATTTCTGAACACGAAGTCATTCTTTTAGAACCACAGTCAACGATGGAATTTTCTCCACAACGATTTGGGCCCTAGTAAGACATGTAAACGGTGCAAACGGTGCGCAATACCTTTCCGGCCGTGCCCTAAAGAGTTGGCATTTCCGCTCTGCACAATTTTAACTGCGGAATTTCGTAAGAGTCGTGAATTCAGCGTGCTTGATGACGTTAACCCTTTGTGTCCCTGCCATCATGCACAAAGTGCGAGAAGGTCAATACTTCGCCCTTAAACGAAAGCGATACTATTTAAAGAATCTGGTTTCGTTAATCTTGCTCATAAAACATTCATCTTGTTGTTGAGTTAGATAAAGAAGACTTTAAACCAGGTAAGATGAACTTCTTATTACACATTTCATTTTATGCATGTACTGCATGTCTCTTTAGGTGTTTCAATGCAGAAATTTCATACAGTTTTTAACGACATTCGCCATACAATTTCTTTTCCCATTTTTAGGATATTAAATAAATCGTTGTTGTTTTCAGCAGGAATTTTATTAAAAGCAATCATGAAAGCAGGTGACATATGAAGATTACCATCCAACTATTTCAAACTATCAGTCATTTTATATCACTTAAAATGTGAGTCAAGTCCGTATGTAAAAGAGACGTGTAATATACTATATTCGGTTTACTGCGTTTCTAAATGAACGTATCTTAGGGCGTATGTGGAGAAAGATTGTAAACATGCGAGATTTGGGCATTTTTTTTGAGGGGGCCCTCCACTGTTATGCGCAGAACGGATGCGTATAGAACGGACTTGACTTTCACTTTAAACTTTATTACTGATTTCAATAATTGAGAGTTTTTTTCAAGACTTTGATATTCTTAACCTTTTTAAGAGCACTTTACCCGGTATAGTTTGCTCAATGTAGACTCCATAAATTTCCTAATCCAATCTGATGCACATCACGTGACAGTTAAATTAATGATGATTTTCTCATTCCTAGATACGTGTTTCTTTGTTGCAATAATCGTTGTTTACTTGATGTCAAGTCCCGTGTATTCCAAATACAGAGGTAAATAAAACAAGCAATAAATTACAGCAATAATGAACACAAAGAGTCATTGCATGCTTATAATGGACCTGAGTGGACATGTTGGTCTACGACCTTTAGCTCAGTAATAACTGAAAAACCTTAGGTTCTCCTACACCTTTACGTTATTCAGTTCTAAATTAGGTCATATTTCAAGACATCCAGAACTTTATCATGTCATGTAAAATGATATGCCTGGATTCGATTTTTATTTAAAAACGGTAGTCATTCATTAAA